ATGGAGGCTCACAACTGTCTATAACTATAGCCCCTCTCTTCTGGTATGCACACACACACGCGCACACACACACACAAATCTAAAAAAAAAAATCCCTATAACCAAACAGTGCACCTCAAGATTGTACCATAGCCAGGTAACTTTGAGACTGGTCACTGTGACTGTTTCCAGGGACTATTGAGTTTCTGGCATTATTGCTGTTTTCACACCAGCCCGCCTAGCTCTAGCTGATGGCTGACGCTTTAAAGAACCTTCTGGAGCTTTCAATAGTGCCATCCTCTCAACTTGCCATAGCTGAAGACCTCAGGTCAAGTTTGCTCCTGAAGTATCCTCCCAGGGGCCCAGTGGAAGCCTCAGCATTTCCTGCCCTACTGTTCCCCAAAGGTGAGAGGTCTGTTTTCATAAAACTACTGTAATCTTTGTAGGAACATGACATTGTAAGCAAATGGCTATGTGAATAAATCAAGCACATTCGAAGGGCAAATCTCACATGGACATCCTAATTACTGAGTGCCTCACAGCCCACCGGCTGTGCTTGTCACACTAGGCAAGCACTGTTTTTGTTTTTAAAAGATTTTACTTTTTTGTTATGCATACAGTATTCTGCCTGCATGTGTGTCTGCACATCAGAAGAGGGCATCAGATCTCATTAGAGATGGTTGTGAGCCACCATGTGGTTGCTGGGAATTGAACTCAGGACTTACTGGAAGAGCAGCCAGTGCCCTTAAACCACTGATCCATCACACCAGCCTACTAGGCAAGTACTTTACAACACAATTACATCACCTCTAGTTCCTAATTCTACATTCTGCCTAAATTACTCCCTTTGGTTGCTTCAAAGCATTGAAGGTATATATTACTGTATGGCTTTTGTACGTTTTAAGTATGGCTACAGATGTGGCTCAAGTGGTAGAGGGCTTGCCTTGTGAAAAAAGTCCTGGGTATGATCCTCCACACCTAATAAAACTAGGTGTGATGGTAAGGCACACACATCTGTAGTCCCTGGAGGCCACTTAGATTATATAAGAAACTATCTCAAAATCCAAAAGTTAGAAAAAAACCCCACAGATTTATTACAATTATCAATTTAGTCATTTCTAGTATTTGAGGAATGGTAAATGAGCCTCAGCCTCAATTTTTGAGTGATTCATGTCTTTAAGTCACATGGAAGTATGTAAGTTGGTGTGTACAAGCCTTTGAAGCCCACTCAGCTTCCTTGGTGTTGGGGTTACAGGCAGTTGTAAGCTACCTGACGTGGTGTTGGGAACTGAACTTGGGCCCTATGCAAGAGCAGTACATGCTCTTAATTGCTGAGATGCCTGTTCAGTACCCCAAAATAAGTCTCAGGTGAAGCCAGGTGCCTTGAACTACATAGAGAGACTATATAGTGATACCTGCTTCTGAAAATACCTACTTTCAAAGAGATGGAACTCTTCCAGGACCTTGCTGCAGTTACTATGCCTGGAGACCACTGAAAACCGTGTATTCAGTCTGCTGTCCTACTGTGGACTCAGCCTGTAAACTTAACCTGCCTTTAAGAGAACACTGCAACCAACCTTACTCGCAATCAGCTTTTACAACCGAAGCTAAATGCAGAGCTTTTAACTTTTAAGTTATATACTTTCCTATGCCCCTGACTCAGAACAATGTGTGTGTGTGTCTAAGTGTGTGTGTGTGGTAGTCATTTACTGAAAGCAGCCAACAGCTGTGTGAGGTTTTGAGTACTGTTGTGGGTAAATAAAATAATTTCTTCCTTAGTATAAAGATCTCTGTAGAAAATTGTCCCTCATTCCCTTCCTAGTCCTTATTTCTGTGCTGTTCAGTAAATTCTGAGCAAAACCCTTTGCTTGATACAGACAACAGGAACAGACATCAGACACACACACCAGACAACAGACAGGCCACAGACCACAAACTACAGACAGATGGAAGACGCAGGGAGAGAAGTAGAGAATTCAAATTTTGGTTTCTCTCTTGCTCTAAACTATTCTAAGAGGAAGTATCTTTCTTTAATTCCTTAATTCTACCATTGATGTAAGCACTGTGTCTCAAAAAATATAAAAGATTTAAAAAAAAAAAAAAGGACCAACAAGTGAGTAGAATAACTCCAATGTCTGTCAGTTATTGAATGGATAAGATATAATGCGGTATATCATATAATGGAATATTAGTCTCAGAAAGGAAGGAGGAAGGCAGAATGCAGATCTGTGTGTGAATCTACTTTGAAGGTAGATCAGATCCAATTACTGTAACCCTGGGGTATAGGCTTAAGAGTAGACAAGGGGCTTCCAGGTCCCAGAGCCTTGATAGCTAGTAGTAGGTATCGCTTTCTTTTCTTTTTAAAGACTTATTTTTTTTCCTTCCTTCCTTCTTTTCTTTCTTTTTTGAGACAGGGTAATAGTCCTCACTCTGTAGACCAGGCTGTCTTGGAACTCACTGAGATCTATCTGCCTCTGCCTCCCGAGTGCTGGGATTAAAGGTTAACACCACCACCATCCATCCCCATTTTCTTTTTCAAAAAAGATTTGTCTCAAAAGCCCAAGTACAATAAAGCAGTGGCATCTGCTTCTTTTTGTCTCAGTTCCCATGTTTTGGTCTCTGTAAGTGTCTGGGTACTGTTTGCTCTCCAGCTCTGTCTTCAGGGTCTCTGTCTCTGGGTTTCTTTCTCCTCCTAATTCTTTCCTACACACCACAGCCCTTTCCCACAAGGGAAGTAGTTTCTTGGAAGAGATCAAAGGCCAGACAGGCCAATGGGATGGGGAAAGGGACAGGGAGGCCTAGGGAGGGGAGAGAACATGGAAGAGGATGAAGGAGCGGGTGGCAGAGGCTATGTTGGGAAAGGAAGGGCACTAGCGAAGGGAGCTGAGTGGCAGGAAAGCAAGGCTAGAAGGAAAAGGAGAAATGATGGGGAAGGGGAGGACGCGGGGGCAGAAAAACAGGAGGCAAAGTGGGAAAGGGCTGGAAAAGAAAATACGAAATTCTGAGAGCAACACTATTCTGCGAAAGATGCAGATACCAATGGGCACGTTATACCATTCTAGTCACAGGACACAAACTGTCAGGGAGAAGGTCTATGCATAGAGACAGAAAGCCGATTAGTACTTCCTTAGGGCTGGGGGGCGGGGTGGGTAATGGGTAGTGATAGCTAGTGTCACAAGTTTTTCTTTTTCTTTGAGATAGGGTCTCAGGCACCCCAAGCTGACCGTGGGTTCAGCTGTGTGACTGAAGGTGGCCTTGAATTCCTGATCCTCTTGCTTTTCACCTCCGATGTGCTGGGATTGCGGACATGTGCCACCATGTTCAGGCTGGTTCACATTTTATCGGGGGAAATAGAAAATGTTTTAGAACCCCAATCTTGTGGACATACACTGACTAAATTGTACCCTCTGCAGGGGTGAATGTTCTTAGAGGCAGAGTCTCCATGTATAACCCTAGCTAGCCAGGAATATGAACACAAGGCTGACCTCCAAGCTGCAGTGACTCTGTCTCCGCCTCCCAGGTACTGGAATTACTCATCACACCCAGGAACAGAGAATTACAGCTTAAAATAAAATAAAATAAAATAAAGGCCAGAAAGATGCTTCATGGTGCAAGTGCCCTTAGCATAAGTCTACAGAATTCAGTCTTTATCCGGCGTGTAAAACAAAATTTACAAGGCCCTCATGACTTGGCTCCTGTCTGCCTCTCGTAAAGGAATGAGTCAAACCGACAGTGTTAAGTGCTGTAGAGGAACATCAGAGACAAGGACAGAGCACCCATGGAGACAGTTCTTCTGAGCAGCACTTTGCTTGCTCTACTCCGAGGTAAACCAGTATTATTGGAGTAAGGTTATGATTGGGCTCTGAAGACTGAGCCCAGGGCCTCACAGTTGCCCTACCAATGAGTTATACTCCCAGCCTCCTCTCTGAACCACAGTATTCTTGCTCCCTTCTGGCCTGCCCTCTGTCTGGAATTGCTTCTCAGGGTTTTTCTGGTTAACTCCTATACTTGTAGCTGCTTGAAAACAGATGAGCCTGCGAATCGACAAGATGCACACGTTGGACACATTGGAGGACATTTCCTCAGAGGAAGCCTTCTTTCTTAAGTGTGTGTATACCCATGGAAGCCAGAAGGGGATGTCAGGTTCCCCTGAAGCTTAAGGCTGTGTTGAGCTGCCTGACACGGGTGCTGGGAACCGAACCCGAGTCCTCTGCAAGAGCTTTTTAATCTCTGAGCCATCTCTTCAGCACCCCCCCCCCGCCCCATTTCTTTTCAGAACTCCAGTCACAGGAACTTTCCATACTTGCTTTACTTGTAGTGTTTTGAGTTATGGGTCATTTTAAATCTCTAGTTCTTCCCACAAGAGCTCTGGGAGGGCACGGCCCTGGCTCCCTAGAGCCTAGCTCTGCGCCTGGCATGTAACCGGGTGGGTGAAATGGGGTTCCTGGCTCCAGGATGACTACAGCACAAGATGAGTGCACACAAAAGGTGAGCCCGTTGTGGTTTCTTTTGCACCCTAGGAATGGCTGCTTGACTGATTTACTGACCAACTAGTAGAGAGAGCCTTAGAGCCGCCCAGGCGCGTAAACCGAGGCCCTACACACTTAGGATCCCGGGTTAGGCTAGGGATCACTGGACTAAAGAGTCCCTAATACCCAGCGGCGCATTCCAACGCTAAGGCCCGACCTGCAGGTTCCGGGTGATAAGGTGCAGCTTCTCTTCAGGGCTAGGAGCATCCCCCATGGCTCCGCTTTCTCCGCTTCCCGCGCTCAGCCGACACCCGCGCCCTTGTCTCGCTCGCCGCCGCCGCCGCCGCGTGCCAGGAACTGTCACGCTAGTCCCTCCAGGTTGCATCAGCTGAGCTCGTAGCTCCGCTTGCTAGGCCTAGATCCTCTTCCGCCCAGGAGTTAAGTCAGGAGCAGCAGAGAGTCGAAGGGATCGATGAAGCAGGAAGGGGCGGAGCCACCAGGCAGGGTAGGCGGTGCGGAAGGCGGGGTTGGGAAGGCTGCCCAGGACGCAACCCTCTCAGGGGCGGGGCGGTTTCCTGCCAATCACTGTTTGCTCGCCCTCCCCCTGGTGTTGGCCTCGCTGCCTCGGGGTGGGGGAGGTCGAGAAGGGGGCGATAAAATGGCGCAGGGGGCGGAGTGAGGTGCAGCCGTTCGCCCAGGCTTTGGCCCGGCTTCCGGAGGTGAAGAGCTGGGGGGGGGGGGGGACGGAAGGTCGGCGTTCGTCGTCTGGGCAGAGGGTCGGGGTCGCCTGTTGCATCTCCACGGGGCCGCAAACATCGTCTGCCCCCGCGAGGAGGAGGGAGGCCCTGGTCTCGCTGAGGGAAGGGCTGATTTCTCGCTCCTGAGGTGATGGCGGGCGGGGAGGTTGTCCCTGCCCCCCACCTCCACATCCGTGGGCGAGTGACGCCCCTCATCCAGCAGAGGGAGAGAGCTGTCAGGTCCTCGGGCCGCGAGCGATGGGGGCAGGGGGCTAGCTTGCCCGGTGCTCGTGCCGCGGTGGGTGTTGCTAGGGAGAGAGAGCAAGGGTGGCGGGCTTCCCGCGGCGCGTCGGGGTGGGAGAGCACGACCCTCTTCCCGGCGACCGCGGGACGCAGCCTGCTGAGGTGTGGCCGAGGGCGTGGGTCCCAGGAGGTCGGGTGCCCCGCCGGAGCCCGCGGGGACCGGTGTCGCCCCTGCCTGGGGGGAGGGGCACGGAGAAAACCCGCGCTTCTCCCGCTACCCGCGGGGAGGCGAGTACTCGCTCTCCCAAGTGGGAGGAGGGAAGTGCAAAGGCCCTGGGCGCGGCGGCAGGGTTCCTCCAGGAGAGGCCAGGCGGGAGCCTTGGAAAGGCATCCCTAGGCCACCCTTGCTCTTTTCACCCAGGCCCTTAGGGAACGCTGCAGACGTCTCAGGATGAGCCCGGAAGAGGGCCGCCATTCACTGGCTTGCCCCCCCCTTATTTATTTATTTATTTTTCGTGGTTGTTAGGGGCCCCAAGCTTTAATAGAGCATTCTTATAAAAGAAACCTGTTGCTTCAGTTCAGAAAATTTCTGCTGCCTGGACCGGTGTGGGATTCTTTGTCACCCTAGCCTCGGGAATTGTTACCTAAAGCAGAGATTCCAAACGAGTTGCCTTTCTATTTTACAGTGTTTGCAGTTACCACAGAGGGAGTCGCAAAATTCCGATAATTTCAGTTCACTTTGTTTTTGTTTCAGTTTTTTTTTTTTTTAATTGGGTCCATTATAGCGATAAAGCTTTTTCTGTGTGCTTCACCTGTATTGTGTTCCGGAGAGATTGGAACTCAAAGGCCAGTGAGAAGTCCCCTCCTTTGCAAAATGATCCTTGCTTTTGGCCCTGCGTATCAGACAGTTAATGGCTTTGGTTTTAGAGCCTTGAAAGAGGATGCGTAGTATACATATGGCATTGGAGTTTTACTGTCCTAAATAGAATGAAGCTTTGTACTGGAGGCAATAGGTTTTTTGAGGTAAGATAAAAATAGATAGGGAACCAGTTTCTGAGGTTGCAACCAGGAGGTTAGAGAACAGAGAGGGGGTGGTACACTGAGTGTGAAGAAGGGGGTGGACAGGTGAGAGATGGAAGGACAGAATAGGGTCACAGGGATGTGGAGCAGAAGAATTAAGAGAATTTGGAAATAGGAAAATATTCCCCTAAAAATAAAGAAGCCGCCATGTTTAAAGGATTTACCAGGCAAGTGCCAAGTGCAGGTGATGGGAGAGGAGTAATTGTGGGACTTAAGAGCTTCAGGCTTATTATTATTTTGAGACAGGTCTCACTGTGTACCCCTGGCTAGACTGGAACTCCAGAGACCCATCTGCCTTTGCTCCCAAATGGCTGGGATTAAAGGCGTGTACTACCATGCCTTTTGAGAACTTCAGTTTTATTGAAGGTTTTCCTCCCTTGAAGATTCAAATTGACTTTATCTCAAACACCTCCCTTCCCCTCCCACCTTCCTTCAAAGCAGCTCATACTGTTTTGTAAATCGAAATGGAGCCTCAGATAGCCTTGAACTCACCCTCCTAAATGCTAGGAATACAGATGAGTGGGCTCATTTATATTGAAGTTCAGAGACTTCAAATGAATGAGGTCTTTGGATTTTAGCCTAGTGCCTCTAGTACAAGACACTTCATGGGCTATTAATTTGAGGAATTTACATGGTATTTCAGTTATCCATCAAGTCTGGTTTAGTGTGACAATATGGTTAGATGTTTCACTAAGCGGATTATGAATTTGTCCTTTTCCCTGTGTTTAAGATTCTTATGGTGAGATGTAGGTTGTAACTGTAGCCACCACTTCTGAATTGTATCTATAGCGTACTAAGTGCTTTATGTTCATAGTCTTATTTGTTCTTGTTAATAACCTTGTGAGACTGAAGTACTGTGAAGTTTCCTTTTATTAGGGGAAAATACTTGAGACTTAGGTGTATTTTTCACACTGGCTTTATAACTTAATTTTTGTTGTTGTTGTTGTTGTGTTTTGAGAGTTTTTTGTTGTTTTTGAGACAGGGTCTCTACTGCCCTGGCTGACCTTGAACTGACAATGTAGACTAGGTTGGCATTGAACTTACAGAGATCCATCTGTTTCTGCCTTTTGAGTGGTGGGACTCTAGGTGCATGTCACCACCCCCACCTATAATTTTAAAGCCAGCCTGGTGTACATAGTGAGTACCAAGCCAAGGGATACAGAGTGAGACCCTGTCTCAAAAAGACCAAAGCCAAATCTTCCTTTGTTTGTTTGTTTGTTGTGGTTTTTCAAGACAGGGTTTCTCTATAGCTGGCTATCTTGGAACTTGATCTGTAGACCAGACTGATCTTGAACTCAGAAATCTGCCTGCCTCTGTCTCCTGAGTGCTGGGATTAAAGATCTGAGCCATCACCACCTGGCTCAATTTTTTTTTTTAAATTAATTTATGTAGTGTGTGGTGTGTGAATTTCTGTGCATGTACATGGTGTGGGAGTGGAGGTTCTTTCCATCTGTCTTTACCTGGTACTAGAGATTGAATTCAGATTACCAGGCCAGTAGGGCAAGTACCTTTTACTCACTGAGCCATTTAATCATCCCCTAAAAGTATTTCTTACTACATATTTCAAACATAAAAAATTAAACAAGGTAGCATAATGATTATAGTTACTCGCCAGGTTTATCTTTTCTCACCATATTTGTTGGGTTTTTATTGTTACTGATTTAACAAAAAAAAAACAAAAACAAAAAAACAATACCTTAGTATGGTTCCCATAGTTCTAGGATTTGGGAGGCAAAGGAAGGAAGCAGAATCAGGAATTCAGGTCATCCTTGGCAAGTTTCAGGATAGTGTGGGCTAAATGAAACTGTCTCTCAAAAACAAAAAATAACATAAAGACTGATCCATGTCTCCTTGCCATTCTTGTTTCCTTATCACTACCAGAAGTTCTTGTGATCTTGAGTTTGGTGTTTTTTATTTTTGTGAATGTTTTGTTTTTCGAGGCAGGGTTTCTCTGTAGCTTTGGAGGCTGTCTGCCCTCCAAGTGCTGGGATTAAAGGTGTTCGCCACAGCTGCCTGGCTCTTGTGAATATTTTTGTGATATGTGTATATATTCATAGAGCTTTCTTTATCAGATAATTGCTGTGGGGAAAAGGTAGGAAATCATTAGAAGACATCAACCTATTGCATTTTGTAGGCCTTATGTGGATGCTGGTTGGTTTGCTTATCCTTAACCCTGAAAAATAAGATTAAGATAATTAGAATATTTGAACAGGAGTTTAAGAGTTTAAAGTGTTTATTATTTTGTGCTATGTGTATAGATGTTTTGCATATATATATATCTGTGTACCATGTATGTCTGGTGCCTGCAGAGGTTAGAAGAGGATATGGGATCCCTTGGAACCAGTGTTACAGACTGTTGTGACCACCATGTGGATGCTGGGAATGTTACCCAGGTTCCCTTGAAGAGGAGCTAGTGCTTTTACTATTGAACCACTTCTCCAGTTCTTTAGGATAAGGAATTCTTATTTATAAATAAAATGTAATGCCTGAGCTTTGTTTCAATTAATCCATTAAGAGGAGAGAAATGAATGGAGTGAGAGATTAGCAATGGATTAGTAGTTTGGGCAGTTGAGAATGATGACTATGGAGACTCATTATGTTACAAGTTTTTGTTGTTGGGTGTTTTTTTGTTTTTTTGTTTTTGTTGTTGTTGTTTTGGAGACTTCCTTTTTAGACAAGGCTGTCCTCAAACTTGCAGAGGTCTGCCTGCCTCTGCCTCCAGACTACTGGGATTAAAGGCATTCACCACCATGCCAGGCCTACTTGTTTTAAATTATAATAAAAAGAATTTTTGAAATTCAGGAAAGTTGCAAAGAGAATGATTTATGTTAGTTAAATTTTTTTTCTGTCTGTATATGATATTGTTTTAGATGATTTTGCCATTTGGCTCATAATGAGAGAAGCTCAAAAGAGCCAGCTTTGTGACTTTGGATAATGGGTGAGGTCAAGAGTAGCTTCTGGTACATTTTAAGGTAGTTTAAGTTATTTTTCCAAGTAATAAAAATCTGTCTTCAATATTTACATATCCCATAGTTTATTAGCAAGCATACTAAATTTGAATTCTAATTTTTCCATTTGATAAATGACTCTGGAGGCAAGTCTATCATAAAAGAGAGAGGAGAAAATTACTTTTGGAATTAGTCTTTGGTTTGGATTCTTGCTCTAGCATTATTATGTAGTGAGTTTAAGTTTACTTTTTTCCTCCCTGCTTTCACTATGAAAATTTACTGAATGTTGCATTTGGCCAAGCAAGTGCTTGAACTATATGTTTTTTTTTAGAGTGATTGGCATGAGGGGGCAGTGGCCCAGAAACTGGGTGCGGTTGCTTGAGCTCAGTGCTTGTGACATTTGTATTAATAATCTGAAATTGTTGGGTTTTTTTGGGGGGGGGTGTTGAGGATGGTGATAATCCTTTCCGTGTAATCCATTCTAGTTTCCAAGTAGAGGGATTATATTATGAGCTGCCACTAGTGGGTTTTTTTGTTTGTTTGTTTTTTTAAAGCTAGGATTTCTTTGTGTAACAGCCATGGCAGACCTGGAACTCACTATGTAGTCCAGGCTGGCCTCAAACTCAGAGCTCCATCTACCTCTACCTCTTAGGTGCTGGTATTAAAGGTGTGTGCCACCACAGCCCAGCAAGGTTTGTTTGTTTGTTTCTTTCTTTCTTTTTTCTTTCTTTCTTTCTTTCCTTCCTTCCTTCCTTCCTTCTTTCTTTCATAATTTATTTTTATTCTATGTACATTGGTATAATGCCTGCATGTATGTCTGTGTGAGGTTATCAGATCCCCTGGAACTGAAGTTTATAGACAGTTGTGAGTTGCTGTGTGGGTGCTGGGATTTGAGCCAGGGTCCTCTGGAAGAACAGCCAGTGCATTTAACTGCTGAGCCATCTCTCTAGCCCTAAGCGAGGTTTTTTAAAACTTAAAAAATAATACTTTCACTTTGTAAAAGCACTGCTACTGCTGTCAAAAAGATGATTTTAATCTATAAATAACTTAGTCGCTGGGCCAAAAATGACTTTATATTTTCTTTCTACCCTAATCATGCCTTTTTTTTTTTTTTTAACTGTTATTTATTTTATTTTTGAAACAGGATGTTTTGAGACTGTTTAACTTTGGCTGGCTCACTGTACAAGTCGGGCTGACCTTGAATTTAGAGTTTGTCTGCTTAGTGCTTAGATTAGAGGCATCACTACCATGTGTGGTCCATCACTCTGAGTTAACTAGATCCCTTCTAATTATAAAATGCTATATTTTCTCCTCTTTTCTTTTTAGTGCTTTATTGTCTATATCATGTTATTATCATATTAAAACTTAATTTTTGGTGTTTCCTTGCTAACAAGATTATATGTTGCCAGGCATGATGGAGCAGATCTTTAATCCCAGCACTTGGGAGGCAAAGACAGGTGAATCTCTTGAGTCTGAGGCCACCCTGGTTTACAGATCAATTTCTAGAACAGCTAGAGCTACACAGAGAAACCTTGTTTTGAAAAACAAAACAACAAAAAACCTAAAATTATGGGAATCATATTTATTTCTCAAAAGTTATAGAGACATATTATGTAGCTCAGAAAATTATTGCTGAAGGAATGTATGAATTAAAGCTGAAAGTCAAGGTCTGGTATGGAGTGAAGGAAATTTTACAGTTTAAAAAGTTATAAAGGAAGCTGGTCTAGAGGTAATTCCTTTAATTCTAGCACTTGGGAGGTGGAAGGAGGAGGATCAGTTCAAGGCCATCATCCTCCACTGAATAGTGATTTGGAAGCCAGCCTGGAGTATATGAGACTCTGAGAAAACAAGCACTTGCCCTCTGCAGAATCCCCAGTATTAAATAAAGTAGGTGTGGTATTGTGTGCCTGTAACCCCAGCCCCTTATGAACACACACACACACACACACACACACACACACACACACACACACACACACCTACACCTACCTCTGTTTCAGTTATACAAGTAAACATTCAAGTAGAAAAAGAATAGGACATTGACGCTTGACCCTGTAGTTGATAATCAACAATTGTTGTGTTTATAGCTTTGCTGACTTTTTCTTTATATTTTATATACATTAAAATGAGGGAGGGGTTGATTGATATGGTCATAATTTTTAGAACTTGGTAGAATCTACTTTTCCAACCCTTTTCTATTTTGCAAGGAAACAAATTCAAATGGTTAAGTGACTAATGGACAGCTTGTTAGTAACAGAGCTCTTAGGACTCTCAGTCCTCATTTACCCCACTGTTCTAGCTGGGCAATGGTGGTGGATGCCTTTAATCCCAGTACTTGGGAGGCAGAGGCAGGACGATCTCTGTGAGTTCAAGGCCAGTCTGGTCTACAAAGCTACACAGAGAAACCCTGTCTCGAAAAATCCAAAAAAAAACAGTTGTTGGGAGGAACTAAATCAGTTCATAGTTGCATAATTTTTTTCTTCTAAAGATTTTTCTTTGGTGTTCTTCACTGAAAATAATCCAACTTGCTGGTATTTTAAAAAAAATCAAGATCAAAATTAATAGATGGAACACCTTGAAGCATAATGCAGTTGACTTTGTAATTAGCAGAGTTGAAAGTGATGAGAAGATCCTTTAATTTTCTTTGTGCCTGCAGGAAGGTGGGAGTCAATCACTTTGACAAGTCTTCTGAAAGGAACAGCCAGCAGGAGTTGAAACCTTTTTCCATTTGGTCTCGTGGCAAAGGCAGAGATTGCTTCAGCAGCTCCGCACAGTATGGAAGACATTTTAATTTTTGTTTTTTGAAACAGGGTCTCATTGTATAGCTCTGGCTGACCTATAATCACCTGCTTTTACCTCCTGAGTGCTGGGATTAAGGGCATGTATCTCTCACTATACCCAGCAACATTTATCTCCCTCCCTCTCCTGATTTTTTTCTTTTTAAATTTCATTTCATTTAAAAAAATAACACGTGTTTAAGTTGGATCACAGGCCTGGAATCCCAGCTTCTGTGGAGGCTGAGGCAGGAGGATTCAAGATTGGGTTGAGCAAGTTAGGTCCAGTCTGGGCACCATAGTAAGACCCTGTCTAAAAGTAAAAAGTAAAAAAAATAGTCTGGGTATATAATTCACTACAAAGGGCTTGAATTGCAAACATGAGGCTCCAGGTTCAGTCACCAGAACAGGAAAGTAATATGTTTTCTTTTTTAAAAGTGTAAACTTTGTGTCTGAACATTTATTTTGCTTGTATATTATGTCTCATGATTTTTAAACATTTCTCTTAGAGGCAGATGTTTAGGTTGCCTCTAATATTTGACTGCTTTGAATAATACTGCTTTGAACATCCTATGTTTCCATGTACATTTTAGTAGGTAGTTCTATATGATAAATTTCCAGAAGTGAGATTGCTAGATCAGATGATATTGCCAAGTTACTCTTCACAAAATATCATATTAACTTTTGCTCTTACTAGTAGTGACTGCTTGTCTCTACAGCCTCACCAACACAGATTATCATTCATCATAATTTTTGTCATGATTGGAAAAAAATGTATCTTAAACATTTATTTCCATAATGCTGGTAATGATAATACCTTAATTATTTCTCAAGTTTACAAATGGCAGTGCAAGCACGGAATTGAGATACTTGGATGCTTCTCTATATATAGTAGATTGGAGTCAGTTTAAGATATTTCTTATTCATCAGCAAAATCTCATATTTTTCCAGATATGACGTGCTCACTGTTGCCCTCTGAACAGTCTTCTGGTAGCTCTTTTTTGCCTAAAGACAATGCCCCATTTTCTTGGGGTTCCTCAGATGAAGATGAATTGGATGACTCCTTGTTGGAGTTTTCTGATGGAGAAGAAGATGATGGCCATTTCAGTTTCACAGAGGAAGAGATTGAGATGCTCTTGAAGGATGATGATGGTGGGCATGATGAGTATGGAGAGAGAAAGTGTCAAATTCTGCCTGGTACTCCTCACAAAAATTCTTTGTACAGCTTGGGACCAGCAGCTGAGACCCCTGGCTTCTTCAAACTACCTCAACTAAGTACATCAGTTAGTCATGGACCAACTCCTAGTAAATCGTTAAACAGACACTTTGTACTTGAAAAGAATCTTATAAAAGTAACTGTTGTTGCACCATTTAATCCAACAGTTTGTGATCCTGTGCTTGATAAGGACAAGATCGATTCCTCCAAAGATACAGAAAATCCTGCTTCCCTTGGGGAACAAATAAGAGAAAATGATCTTCATCCTAATGAGAGTAAACGTTGCACTGAACCTGAAGGGGTCAATCCCAGTAACTCTGCTTGGGATGAGCCCCTGCTTTCTTCTCCTTCAAAAAATAACATCGAACAAACTGCCTCTGATAAAAATATACCTGAAAGTAAGAAACCTAACCCTGTGTTCTCTCAGATTTCCAACCATTCAGAAGTACCTAATAGGGGATCATCCTGGAAAAATAGTGGATCACATAAATCAGGTTGTGAAGTGAGAATTCCAGTTGTGTCCAGTTCATCAAACAGAGTAAGTATGTGTTTTTCAAGACACAGTAGAAATGAAATTACTTTCATTCATAAGGGTTCCTATATACTTAACTCTGCAGTAGAATGTATGACTAGCATGCATTAGCTACAGCAGTCCCTTGTACCAAAAATAAAGAAATGAAGTTTGCTAGGGTTGTAGTGGTGCATGCCTTTTATCTCAACACTGCAGAGGCAGAGGCCAACCTGGCCTACAGAGTGAGTTCCAGGATAGCCAGGGCTACACAGAGAAACCCTGTGTTGAAAAAACAAAACAACAACAAAATTATACTTTAGTAATGATGTTTTCAGCTATATGATACAGCTAAAATTACTTCCAACTAGTAATTATCTCTCCTATTATATTTCTTCCATCTTTTCTGGAAAACAAATTAGCATACTTTCGACAAGGATTCTGGTGAGGTGAAAGGTGAGAGGAGACTAGGCAAAGTGATTCCTGTTCTACAAACCAGAACCAGGTAACGTAACGTACAACCAACCATTCCAGTTTCTGGTGGTTCTCTTTCATTTCTTTCTCTTCTCAATATCTTCTTAATGTGTGTGTGTGGGCCAGGGGAGCAGGGAACCCTGCAGAGAGAATAAACAGACTCTTTGTGTTATCTTGAGCAAATCAAATAACCTCTCACTTCAATTTCTGTGTCAGTAAAATGAAGCTAATGATGCCTTCTCTACAGCCTCACTAGGTTATTTTGAAAGTAAAAAAGACATACTAGTAAGATACTATATAAATACAAAATTTCTCCCATGTATGAGGAGGCCTGATCACGTATTTGAAAAAAAGTCAGAATATTAACCAAAAAAAGGTTAAAATTCTCTTAGAAAATGATTTAGTGTTATTTTTCTTTTCTTGCATACAGCTGGGTTACAGATTTGAGACATCTTTTTAGTTTACTTTTTTGTTGCCAGGAGATGGCAGTATCTGTATATGGGCATTTTCAATTGAATATACTGGAAAATCCTATTGCTTTACTACAATAAACATTGAGAAAAGTTTTTTTTAAATACACTTAGGGCATACTTGTTTTGCTTTAAACATTTAAAAATGATAAATAAGATTATTTGTCACTGAATTTTAGTTTTGTGGGTTCTGTTTCTTTTCCCATGTAATTGAGGAAAGCTCTGTCAGTTTTTTCCCCTGTTTTTGAAATTGTATTTTTATTTTTCATGTATAGGTATTTTACCTGTGTGTATAGTGTCCACAGAAGCTAGGAGAGAGTGTCAGATCTTCTGGAACTGGAGTTAAAAGTTGTGAGCTGCTATGTGGGTGCTGGGAATTGAACCACAGGTCCTCCAGAAGAACAGCCAGCATTGTTAACTGCTGAGCCATCTCTCCAGCCCTACTTTGTGAATTTCTTAAAAGTGAAATTATACCAAAACACACAAATCAGGCTGTTTGGTGGAACACTAAGAAATTTACAATGTCAGTCAATATTTTCATCCACCAATTCTTTCCATACAGAGCTATCAGTATGAACAAGGACCAGAAATTGTTGTTACCAAGATCATGATTGCCTTAATCTCATTTAACTTTTTCTGTGTGGCTCAGTGAAGTTGCTTAAATTTGAATTACTCAACAAATGCTTTCTCTATGAGCTATTTCATTTTTACCTTCTAATATTTTTTGTTATCATGAGTTACATTTCTTTTTTTCCTTTACTTCTAAACTCTGCTTGATTTCAGTTTTGTATTGTGACTAATATTACATCCTCTGTCATTGGAGAATTTGCCTCTGAAATTTGGGTTGTTTTAACTATCAATATGTGACTTTTCTACAAAGCACTATATTCATGGTTCTAATGGAGTGTTTTTCCTCCTGGTTTGCTTTATTCAAGGATGTTTTCACAATCAGATCTAGAAAAACAGAAGGATATTTATCTCAGCAAAGTCATTGCTCATATAGAAGACCCAGGGGACTCTAACCAAGGTAACATGGTAACCAAAGAATGGCTTATAAAACATGTATTGAGGCATTTTCTTTCCATGATAATGAGCTTAAACTGGGATGCTGTTTTGAATTTTCTTAAATTGATGAAGTAAACTTTCTTATGCCAAGATTTACTTTAAAGAATTATTTTAGCAGATAATTGTGCAAAGTGGTTTGGCTAACAAGTATTAGAGAAGGGACTCAGACCTTTGAGTTTCTCCCCTATAGTTGAGGGTTATAACCCAGATCTTAATGCTTTTTTTTTTTTTTTTTAAACTGGAGGTTGTCATTATTATTTTGTTTCTCAAATAGTAGAATTAGTTTTGGGTCTTTTAAAATGTGGAATTATTTTCCTTGTTGCCTTTTGCTTTTAAATGTAAAATGTAAGCATTTCAAGACTCATCTTGGCTTCTCAATACAAGCTCTTGAAATTATGAACTATGTTCTCTGTTCTTCAAACTAATCTGGGTGCTTCATTAGAAGCTTTTGCAAGCCAAAATGGAGAAATTCCTTCTCCAGCCCGTGAGATGCTGTATTGTTTCACCTAGTTAGTGGCTGATAGGAAATTCCTAAAGAGAAAGGAACAGAATTGAAGGCATGGGAAGTTATGCGGTTTTATACTGATAAAAGGATTCTTCCCATAAAGGTCACTCTATATTGAAATATGTAGCTTCTTTTCTTGTTCAGCAGAATACTTCTACAAGTGTTAAGTTTGAAGATTAGGAAGAGTGGCAATGGGTTTTGCTTTGCCTGCTGGGAATTCATAGTCTAGAGAAGATCATTAGACTAAAATAATGATTAGTGTTTTTTTTTGTTTTTTTTTTTTTTTTAAGAAATACACTTAAAGTAATGTAGAAATGAGGGACCCCTTTAGTTTGTGTTTGGGAAGAATGAAGATGATTGAGAAAGATTTTCTAGGTGTATTTCATAGAAAAGGCAATGAGTTGTTGGACTCCAGATCTGTTCTGAGGAAAGTTTGGGGGACATTCTGCAGAGCAGAGCTTCCTTTCTCTTGAAGGTTAGTAGTTTCTGTTTTTAAGACTACAGATGAATGCTGACATCCATCATAAGAAATTCTTAAAAATAACTCCCTTTTTTTATTCATGGTTTTATGAAGCAATTAGATATCACTGTATCACTGATGTTCATTTCTTAGCCCTCTGCTGATGAAATCTTTTTGTTTGAATTATTAAGTCTGTTAGAAATAAAGATATTTCCCCACCCATATCATTGGAAGTCAGGCTTTAAACAGATTTGTGCATCTTCAAGTTTGTTAAAAGAAGAAAAATCTTAGTTGTTACTTTTCTCCCCGTGAGATGACTTCTTTTGTAGCCTAAGAGTTGGCACTGATATCTAGTTATATTTTCCTTTTTCATATGAAGTGTTCAATGAAAATTGTCCATGCAAAGCAAGGTGCAGTTGCTCACATTTTAGCATTCTTTTCATTTACTTTCTCATTCAGCAATCCCTCTCCCAAAATTACTAAATTTATATTCTATTTTCAAAGAATAGTTAGAAATACAGTGGGAAAGCAACAGACTTTAGTGATTAAAAAAAAAAAAGTTTAGAGCTAACTTCTAGGTATTTTTATTTTATTACATTTTATTTCTTTTGTACATATGTGAGCATGTATGTAGAGATGTGCAGCCACAATGCATGTATGGAGGACAACTTATAGAAGAGTCAGTTTTCTTCCCCATGTGGGTCATTAGGCAGTTGCAGCATGTGCCTTCAGATGAGCCTTACCACTGGCACAACTTCTGGGTTATATCCTGGCACTACTGTTGGCTAGATGGTGTCTTGAGCACTAAAAACTTGTTTGCAAAGTGAAAACAATGTAGTTTAGCTTGTGTGAAACATAATTTACTTATGCAAATGCAAGTATTATGTGTAGGACAGTATTTAATGCAAGCTAATATAATTTTTGCTAATAGAATTTATTTTAGATAGCATTATTGACAAGAAAGTTTAGAGCTGGAGTGATGGCTTAGTGGTTAAAAACATTTACTACTTTTGCAGAGACCCCAGATTTGTTTCCCAGAGCCCACATGAGAATTTACAAACTGTAATGTATAGAAAAACAAAACAACACCTTTAATCCCAGCACTCGGGAGGCAGAGGCAGGAGGATCTCTTTGAGTTCGAGGCCAGCCTGGTCTACAGAGTAAGTTCCAGGACAGGCTCCAAAGCAATACAGAGAAACCCTGTCTCAAAAAAAACCTTGTAACTCCAGTTCCAGGGAATCTGATGCCCTCTTCTGGCCATTGCTGGGTCTAAGCTTGCATTTGGTGCACATACATGTGTTCAGGTAAACACTCGTATACACATACAATAAAACTTTTTAAAAATCTTTGAAAAGTTCATCTTTTTTTGTTATTTTATTTGTTTGTTTGTTTTAGAGACAGGATCTTTGTAGTAGTACTGGCTTTCCTGAAACTCACTTTGTAGACCAGGCTGGCCTCAAACTCAAATCCCTAAGTGCTGGGATTAGTGGTGTTTGCCACTTACTTGGGTCATGGTAGAGCTTTTATAGTTAAGATAGTGTGATATATTTTAAGTCTCAACAAATGTCATAAAACAAACAAACCAACAAAACACCTTGGGCTGGAGAGATGGCTCAGAGGTTAAGGGCACTGGCTGCTCTTCCAGAGGTCCTGAGTTCAATTCCCAGTAACTACATGGTGGCTCACAACCATCTATGGTGGGATCTGATGCCCTCTTCTGGCACTGTATTTGTTTAACAAACAAAAAAACTTGTAAAATAAAATGAAATAGCCTTGACAAAAATAGTGATAAGTGAAACAGTGTTGCTGGTAAACTGAATCAGGCAGGAGAACTGAAGACAGAGAGCCATTCAAGGATGCAGTGAATCCTTGAAGGAATAGGGAGACAGCCTGAACCTGAGTGACCTTTCAAGGCTTCATTTCATCTTTGAGTGGCCCTTTCTTCAGTGGTCTGGAGTGACTCAGTTTACCAGAATTACTCAGTTTACTAAATGTGGGGCTCAAAGAAAGGGGGATCTAGGTACTCCTGGACTGGAGGAAAGTACTCTCATGTGTAAGTGAGGACTCCAGGATTTTGGCAGGGACGTGGGGAATTCCCTATCTCAGGAGCAGCAGTATGTGCAGCTGTTAAAATGTTTACTACAAGGAAATAGAGTAAAAGTGAAAGAAAAACAGATTACCAAGCTTTTTGTGTTAATTAAATAGCATTGTTATTGGTTTCAGGCACACCCTCAAGCTGAGAATGTTGAGCTCATCAGGGGAGGCTATACCATTAAAAACTTGGTCTTTATGTAATTTAATTCCCAATGCTCTGGGCTGCTGCAGAGTGAAGAGTCAGAAAAGACTGGGTCAGATCTAGGAAATGCAAGTAAGAAGGAGGACATTCTGGCTAGAAACTGTCAGTCAGCAGAGGATAGTGTATTTTCAGAGGAAGATGAAAATGAGTGTGTATGGTATGTGGTGGTATATATCATGGCTTGCATGTGTTAGGCAAATGGCATCTTTTTGGAGTCAGTGCTTTCCACCTTTAT